TTTTATTAGATGATGTGGATGAGTTGTTGGATGAAAATAATATTTTATTGGATGTTGTGTGTGAGTTTTAGGGATGAAAATGGATGAAATTGTACTTTTTAAGATGAACAAATTTTTGATTTAAACCCATTCCCATTTTTTTTTACCGGAATCGACCGACCCTCTTTTTATTTAGCGGAATCGACCCACTTCTCGGCCACGTCAGCAGCGTGGCCGAGAAGCGGGTCGATTTTTTTTTAATCTCATCACTAAATAGTCGGGGTTGCCAACCCCGACTATTTTTTCAGTAGAAAAAATAGTCGGGGTTGGCAACCCCGACTATTTAGTGATGAGATTAAAAAAAAATCGACCCGCTTCTCGGCCACGCTGCTGACGTGGCCGAGAAGTGGGTCGATTCCGCTAAATAAAAAAAAAGTTGGTCGGTTTGTAAAATAAAAAGTTGAAATGGGTTTAAATCAAAAATTTGTTCTATCTAAATAGCATCGCCCTGTCTGCATCAGTTCAATGCATGTAGCAGTATCACCGCTAACTTCCTTTTGATTTTGGTACTAGATCTACGCAACTTCTTCTCGTTCAATCATATCTCAAGCAAGGTGCAGTTGCTTCTCAACTGCTAACATTGACAAAATTTCGAAAGGGTTGTTGTTTGCCAGGAAACAGCACATATTATGTAAACAAAAAAAATTACCAATTAGAGTAGTTGAAAGGAAAAAGGAAATTTTAGACGCATAACTTCACCCGATCATTGATAACGAGCATTAGTAATTTTGATGTTATGTCGGCTTAGTAATTTTGTGTTTAGATGCAAATACACTTGTATACCATTCTAATTGTTTTCATGCAACAAAAGCCAGTTGGTTTAAAGTCTTTGAAGTTTGTTTTAATAAAGAAAAAAATTGTATAATATTGATAGATAACTAATGTTAGCTTATGTTTTACTTTGGTTGCAGAAAATCGTACATATGGATTTAGTGAGAATTCTATCCAACGTCGGCTACTTTCGGAACCTTATTCAAAATCGTATTTCTGCTATATTATTGGAGGATCAACATCCCTTCGAGATACTCCATTCTACGGTTACTTAGATGTTCCAGATGTTCCAATGCAACCACCTCTAGTTGATTGTTTGTTGGAAGTATTTAATGTTGAAAAAAGTAGTTTTAAAATTGGAGGAAAATGGATCTCCTTTGGGGTTGAAGATGTTGGTAGAATTACGGATCTTCCGATGGGAGGATCTATTATAGATACGAAGTTTCATAGAAGTGACCGCTATACAATATACAAGCTTATGCTTTCATATAGGTCTAAGGCTGAAATTGAAGAGGATACAAAGCGTAGCACTAGAAGAGGAAAGAAGAAAAGTGATGAGGGTAAGAAGAAGATTATGTGTGCTAGAAGGGATAGGATGAGTGAACTTATCGAGGAGATGGCCGAGCGTAGATATCCTCTTTTGTCACAAATGCTCGTGGCTTTCATTATAGGCTTTATATTATCTCTCAAGCTAGTATGAGTTGTCCCTTGTTTGCATTTAAATATGCTGAGAGATTGAAAACTCTTAAGATTATAATTAGGCTGAATTAGTATATAATATGTTGCATACTAAGATGAATAAGGCTAAAAAACCATCATGAAGAGGTTTGAGGGAAATCGATCTAGAGGTAGTCATAAAGGGGGTTTTGCATCGGTTTTGATGGTAAGTTAACCTTTTATATATTTATGTCATTCTCCATTGCATATTTTTATGTCATTTAGTCATGATTATTGTTGAGCTAAAATTTTTATCTTTTTCACAGATTTGATTTTATGAGCTTGTGGGAAAGTTAAGCCTTTGCGTAGGAGGTGAATCCCTACCACTCATCATAATCTTCTACAAGTGTCTGAGGTCTTTACAGAGGAATGCAATGCAAGTTTTAGTTAGAGACCCGGATAATTTTAGGAAGCATAATAATGACTCGATAGCTCTAAAATTTGAAAAGAGGATTGCTGAAGCTACCACTGCCACTAAATCTTCCCCTACAAAATTCAAGAGAAAGGTATATATATTTTTATTTCATGTTAGTTAATAGCTTCATGCTTTTATAAAATAATTTTTATTTGATGTTCATTCCTGAATTGAACTTTACTTGGGTTATTTACATGTAGGTAATTACTGAAGCTGATTTGGATCAGCTCATACATGAAAAAAGAGTGGAATTAGATATTCTCTTGAAGATGAAGAGGGATATATTTGGTGAAAAGCAACAGGATGTTGATAGTGATGGAGGAGATGAAGATAACGGGAATAATGGGGGTGATAGTGATGAAGATGAGGAGGATGATGAGAATGAGGAAGATGAGGAGGGGGATGATGAGGGGAATGAGGAGGGGGTGGTGGAGATATGGATGAGGATGTTGGTAGAGATGCGGAGGTTGGTGGAGATGCGAAGGATGGGGGTGATGAAGATGTTAATACATTGAATGTAGATAAAAATGATTGTGGAGATGGTGCTAATGACAAAGTGGGCATGAATTCAATGGAAGTGGATGACGATGCCTTTGTTCTTAGCCCGCGTGATATTGTGTTGATTGAAGGCATGCGTAAAACCCCTTCTATCAAAAGAACAGCTCTATCAAGATCTCGGCTTGCTAGCCCATATATGGGTTTGCCCTTTGTCCCACTTGTTAATCGAAAAGGAGTATCAAACTATCTAGGAATGAAGGAAGTAATGGATGACGAGAGAGAACTACTTGATAGTTTTTGGAAGGAAAAAAAATATGACCACGTAAGTGTCTTCTCAACGATCTATTTTTTAACTTTTATAGTGTTTTCATTAACACATGTAATAAGTTTTTTCATATATAGTGAGACGTTAGTGTGGTCATCTAGTGATGCTTTATTAACACGCAAGGATGCATTGGAATTACTTAAAGGAGAGGTAATTAGATGCGACGTAAGTACACATTCTTTTCATGCTTCACACAATGCACGTGTAGTATATTATGTACATTTCAGCTTATAGCCTCCTATGTTGTGCTTCTAAATATGTTGATGGAGATGCGTCCAACATATGCAAAAGACATACACATCTGTAGTCCATGGGTAATTATAAGTAGAAATCCGATTCGAGATTATAATTATTATTCATATATTATATTGAATACTAATTCTTAACTTTCTTTGTTTTTTATAGAGACGCATCAACGGAAATAGTCCGTCAAGTGTAGAACGCATGTTTAAACCAATAACAACTACACGTTTCCTAAATATTGATAAGATTATTTTCCCACTTCTAACTTCATCTTATTGGCATATGTTGGTATTATCTGTAAATGATCAAAAGTTTTATCATTACTCTTCTCTCCGCGGATACATGTCTGATGCTGTTGATTTTAGAGTGAAGCTTATTTCTACCATTTCCGATGATTGGAATTTGGATATTACATCTTGTCATGAGATAGAAAGTGTTGATGTACCTCAACAACGTGGGTTAGTGTATTCGACTTATTCACATGTTATTGTTTTGTGTATGTGATGAGACATAGAAACTATATATTGTGGGCTAAAAGTGTCCTATTGATATTGTAAACATGTGAACTTGCAGTAGCTTGGATTGCGGGGTGTTCTTGATGTCATACATGTTCAGCCTCATTTCCGGTCAACCAATTTTAATTGATCAAAAGAATTGTGCAAGACATAGAGTTCGTCTCGTTGCTCTATTTCTATCTAAATGTATATTCTCCATAAGTGTAATGATCAGTGGTTTTTTAAGAAATGCTGCTAACTTGTATATTCAGTCTACTATTCCTTTGATCTGCGTATCTTTTGATTTCAGGATATAAATGTGATCATCAAGCTAATTTCACCATATGCTAGTTGCCATCTGAGATATGCAAATTTTGTGTGATGTGTAAATATATGTTTCGAGTATGTAAATAGATAATCTGAAAGTCTTTTGAGTGCTATTTTGTGTGTATAAATATATGTTTGGAGTTTGATTTTGTAAAGTATTGTTCTTAGTTTTTTAGATTGAAAGTAGATAATGAAAGTTATGTTCTCAATAGTGTTATATGCTTGTGATACGCTCTTGGTGCTATTATGTGCTGGTTGATGATTCTTGAATATTTTAATTCCAAGGTTTGTAAGCTTGAAACTCAAAGATTTGTAAGCTAATTTTGAGGTAATCAAGTAGCTGCCAGTGAATTGATAAGTATAGCATGATAGAATAAAAGTATAGCATGGTATCCTGTAAGTATAGCATGATAGAATAAAAGTATAGCATGATATATTGTAAGTATAGCATGATACATTGTAAGTATAGCATGATATCCTGTAAGTATAGCATGTCTTACATCCAAAAATATGTCTTACATCCAAAAGTATAACATGTTTGCAATATTTTGGTTATCTAGTCTGCAATAGGTTGTTTACATGTTCTATGGTTATGACTATATTGTTGACATTTACTACATTTTAACTCTTTATGGGGATTCAATTCTGAAGGAATGTGCTTTGTCCTTTGTCTTCCACGAAGAACTGATGTTGTCGGCGGCCGAATCACCATATTTTCATCATCTATATATGACTTGTCATCGTCAGGAATTGGGTATATAGGAAAGGAGTAGCATTTGCGGTATGTCTCCACACTAAAGCAGTGAGAAATATAGGAGTAAAGGATGTCGTTATTTTTTCGAATTACCATCGCCGCATGTTTGCAAGGTAGCCTGACAACTTGCCATTCATGACAAGTGCATGTGTGGTCATTTAAATCTACTTCAACGGTAGGGAAATCGTACACTTCGAACCTTCCTATAGTAGAAGGAGTTGCAGAAAGACAACGTGACTGCTCATTGATATGAATAATGTGCTCTTCCATAGTAGGCACAAAATGCCGTGGTCTACTTGTGGGATGTCTCCCGCCTTTCAAAACTCATCCTCATTATTTTTTACGAATATTATCAATTATTTGAGTAATTGGCAAATAACGAGCTTCTTTGATCCAAGAATTAAATGACTCCGCTAGGTTTGATGTTAACCAGCCATATCTACATGCATGTCATGTCAATAAATAGTAAGTATAGAGGTACATATATCTAATTGATTTGCATTTAAAATTTTGCATAAATTTAAAATTTAACCTCTTTTTCAGGAAAATAGCAATCAGCCCAATTTTCTGGACTCATCCTCAACATTTTGTTATGGACGATCTCTGATTTATTTTATATCTCGTTGCATTCATTGTTGTAGGAACGACAAGTGTATGCATAAGCAGCTCTCTTCATAATTTGCACACATTCACCTCGTAAATGTGATATAATACCTTTTTCGATAAGTTATTCTTAAAATTAGTCAAAAGATGACGAATACAATAAGAGTGATGTGACCACAAAAAGCATTTTTTACGGAATTCTGAAGTATTTTGTCCCTATCAGAGATTAATACCAGTTCATCATCTGGAGTATATGGATCTTCATCATTGAAGAGAATGTCTCGAATGCATTCTAAAAATCATTCCCAATTACTCTCATTCTCCGTCCCGTATATGCAAATTGTTACGGGAAACATTCATCCATCTCTATTTAGAGCAGTTACGGTAAGTGAGGTTTCTTTATACCTATAAAAGAGAGAAACAATCATGTAACAAAGTATAATATTTTACTATGAAGAATGTTACATTAACACAAGTTTTGATTAGATTGACTTCTACCATACCTATCGAAAAAATATGTATCATCCAAGAATAACATTGGCCTACATCCCTCCATAAACCCCTTCCAACAAGCATAACAAGACACAAATACTCTTGTAAATCTTTCATCTTCATGCTCTAAGCGAATAATTGATCCCAAATTAGTTTTCATAACTTTATCCTTATACCATCAGAGTTGGTCATATGAATATTTAGTATCACCATACAATTCATGTTGAGCTAGCTCTTTTCCCCACCAAATTCTATGTTAAGGGATGTCCAAACCAAATTCAATTTTAAGCTTCTTCTGGAAATCAATTGGGCGATAAGTGGGTTGTTCTTTCAAGATGAATTTGAGATGATTAGCATTCCACTTACAAGATGCCCGTCTATATCCTTTCTTTCCTATGCCTCCTCCCAAACAACTATGAGAACTACAATTTTTTTTAACATAGAATCCATCACTATCTCTACGACGGGTACAATGAACCATCCATTCACAGTTTGCGGCCTTGTATTTTGCTGTCACTCTTTTGCGTTCATTTTTTACAAAATTAAAGTTAAATCCTCGTGCAATAGAGTAATAACTTAAACTCCGCCGATAATGCTTAACATCATCAAATTCTTGACCAACACTTCTAATAGCATTGTGCTATGCAAGAGGAATCATACTAGAGCTCCCAACTTCTCAAGACATATTTTGTGAAGACGAATGATTTTGTGAATAAGAAACATGTTCGTCACTAGAGGGGATGTACAGATTATTGCATAGAAAATTGTACAAGAGTTAAAGAAAGTGAGAACTTTTGAATTGATGGTAAAAGTATGAAACTATATTAAAAGTGTAAATTACCTTATATGGACAGTATTAGCTTGTCGCATAAATAATATCTCTCGATTCATCTCAGCGTTCATGACAACAATATTCTCCTTGCAACTTCGATGTATGTTGAACATTATCTAGACATCATCATCATCACATACACACACACACACACACAAATTTCTTGTGTGTGGGGTACTTTGTAAGTCAACTGTATTGTGCTTACACTACAAGCAATTAGGTTTTGCACTGCAACCACCAAATCTTTGTAACTCCCGTTGACATTTAATTTTAAAAAGTGATCATTTCCTCTAAAATACGTCAATGCACAATACAATTCTTCATCCATCTGTGTTTGTCACAAAAAATAAACAAATTTAAGAAAAATTTCATCAAAGATAGACAACTAAAATCAAGACAACTAAAATAATGCTACAGGATACCATGCTATACTTACAGTGTATCATGCTACACTTACAAGATATCATGCTATACTTATAGTATATCATGCTACACTTACAGAATATCATGCTATACTTACAGCGTATCATGCTACACTTACAGGATATCATGTTTTACTTACAGCGTATCATGCTATACTTACAGTGCATCATGCTATACTTAGAGGATATCATGCTATACTTATAGTGCATCATACTATACTTACATGATATCATGCTATACTTACAAGTCTTGTATTTCATGTTATACTTACAGGTTATCATTCTATACTAAAATAAAATTTAACTAAAATTTTATCAAATATAACAAATTTAACTAATTTTTATGAATTCATGAATAATAATGATTAATTAGTGTGAAATAATCACGTGAAATAACTAATGTGAAATTAATGAGTGGTTAATTACAAAACCTCATTTAACTAATATTTTATCAAAAGTAACAAATTTTACTAATTTTTATGAATTCATGAATAACAATGTCAAATAGTTATCATGAATAAAATGAGAAATTAATGCTATAAACTTGATAGTTGAGTAAATTACAAAATTTTACCTTCAATTGCTAAGAAAGTGACGAATAAACACCAAAATCACACCCTACACATTAATGATGGATTGATAAGTGGGTGAGGATTAAATGATGAGTTTATAAGAGGGTAGTTAATTCAGAAATGGAGTGAGAGGAGAGCTCACTCGCGCGGGAGAGGAGGGAAACAGGGGAACCCCCGTTTCTCTCTCTCTCTCTCTCTCTATCTTCATTTTTTTTTTATTTTTTAACTTTTTAAAGGGGCCCACTTACATGAGATAAAATCTGAAAAGGTTATAATTAGAATTTAAGAAAAAACTTGGGGGGTCCACATATGAAAGTATTGTATTTTGTAAACTGGGTCTAAAGACAAATACAAAAAGAGAATTGGGTTTAAAGGTACAAGTAATAATGATTGGGTTTATAGGTAAAATTGAGTAAATAAATGGGCCTAGAAATAAAAACCCCTTAATTTAAAACAATTTATAAGATTTGGCTCACCTATAGCAATTTCAATGATTTGGGGGACCAAATACAAAGAAATTAAAGATGTGAGGGAGTACTACTGAAAAACCTCTATAAATTTGGACTTCATATGACTGCCGGGTAAGGTCCAAAGTCCCGTGGGCTTCCACCTTCGGACCTCAAACATAACTTAAGGGTGTGTTTGGATTTCAATGGGGTTAAGGGAAGTTAAGGGAAACTAGGTGAGAGAAGGAAAGGGAAGGGAGTTCCCTTCCCCTTGGTTACACCCTAATTTGGGATAATAAATTTTATACTATTAAGGGGTAAACCAAGGGGAACTAATTAGGTGAATAAGTTCACCTCATGGTTCCCTAACTTCCATTCTCCTTTCTTTCCCTCAATCCAAACAAGTCCTAAGCGTCGAGAAACAAATCCAATCAAAACTCTCGTCTTCGTTCCGAACATGATCATCCCTAATTCGATTCGAAAACACTCAATTTCAAGCCCCAAGCCCATCGAATAGGTAAGACTAGGATTTCAGTTGATCAATCATGTTGTACTCTTTAGAAAACTTAAAAGTTTTGAGCTTTTTATGCCAATTACTTCAATATTAATGGAAGCTTTTTCTGATTTTTTTTGCGACTTACTTTTGAAGCTTGGGTAGGGTTTTACCACGAGACCTAGCGAAAAAGGGTTTTGAAGCTTGAGAAGATGGAAGGAAAATTGAAGCCGAAAGTGCTCGCGCACAAAAGACCAAAGTCACAGGTACGTGTTCTCTTTTTTACTTCTTTTGTGATTATGTTTACTAGCATGTTGGCACGTGCATAATGGACAGGATCAAGATAATAAAAATCTGTTTACAGGTATGTATAACTTTCATGCATGGAAATAATTATTATTGCCTCTTTCACTTTGATGCGAGAAATGGAAGCGAGCTTAAAATTCATATAATAGTTTCTCAGTTGTAACACGAGGGTATATTTATTTTAGATTGAAGCAACAAAAATTATTACACATAAGAAATTTCACCCAATTTTTATAAATTTATCAGCATAATTATGAAAGGTATATAATTTTTTAGTTCTTAAAACATATTTTTAATTGAATATTATATAATGTTAAATAAGTCTCTTTATCTAAAATATATCACTACTTAGCTTACATAGCGTTGCATTATTGTTATTTTTTTCAATAATATGATTTAAAAGGGTTATGCATGAAATTTTTAATTTGAAAAGGAGATGGAATAATGCAAAAATTGGAACCTCAGGAGAGAGAAGAGAGAGATGGAACTCACATCATTAAATTATGTTGTCAAATGACCAAATTACCTTTTTTTTCTTCTAAAATGACCATTTATTCTTAAATTTAAGGAATAATAATAAATTCCTTCACATTTGTCTCCCTGATAATATTTTTTATATAGTAGTATAGATATATGCTTGTAGTATTCTAGTTACTACTGATTGCATAAATAATATAAAGGGTCTTGCTTGTAAGCACCTATTATCCACATCTTTCTATATTTTATGTTATTATTCATATCTAACTCATTTATTATTTATATGGATTGTTTTGGAAATTGTTACGTATATATGTTTATTGAGTTGAGCTAGAATCCAGTAAAGTAGGTAAGGGGAGTTGTCCACCCAATTTTTTATCCATTCATTTTGCTTATAGAATCCTATTGACATTAGATACACATTAAGACACACATCCCAAAGATAGTCTCACATTCCAATATAAATCTCAAAGTAAAATGAATGGATGAAAAAGTTAGGTGACAACTTCTCCTTTCCAATTAAGTGAATTCTAGCTCAACTCTATATCTTTTTAGCATTATTTTTTTAGTGCTTAATCAATGATAAAACATTCTTGACATTTATTTGGTCACTTTTGATTTATGTGTCAGAGAGAAAGGGCAGATGAATCACACATGAATTGTGGATAACTAGTGGTAAAAAGGAAGAATTATGTATATCAACTTGCTTCTCAAAGTCCTTTTCACTATATTACAATGAAGATTGAGGCTTTATAAATTCTTACCTCTAACGACTAATCCTTAAAACCTACTCATTCACACCGATTCAAAGATTCCATCTTTTTGGAGATAGTTTTTCGAGAGAATTATTGCAAAGTAGCAAAAAGGCATAAAAGAAGAACACAAAGAAGTATCCTGATTAGTGGAAAGTACCAAACATGTAAACAATCATATTAGATAGATAAAGAATAGATGGGGAAATACATACAATAAGTTTAAGAATGCACACTCGACGATAAAAGGAAAAGGAAAGGAAATGATCGCCACCAGTTGCAACTTTTTTCTACAGCCACTTACATAGGTCCATGCGTAAGCTCTCTACTCGTTCGAGAACTAGTGAAAACTATACAAAGTAAGGTTGCAGCCACCATGAAGGCCCTTGGACTGGTTTGATCCTCTATTGCATCCTTAAGGTGCTTATTATTGACATTATTCCAGGAATTCCTCACGTTAAAATGAAAAGCTTGGCGCAAGAACCTCCCTCTTATCCAACCTTCCTTTATTTTGTCAACAATAGTGCCTGTGAACAGAAGTTCTTCATAACATAAAATTACTTGTAAATATAGACTCTAATAGTGTCAAAGAAACAACACATGTCGTTAATGAAGAACTTACTTGATTGATGAGGAGGAGAGACCCATGAAGGGTTTATGCTTAGTAGTGGAGAGGTGGTGGTGGGGAGGAGTAAATGTAGGTTAGAGGTGGGGATGGTGATGGAGGGGGAGGAGACTTGTAGACATAGGGAGGACATGGCGATGGTGATGGAGGGGGAGGGGACTTGTAGAGGTAATGGTGGTGGTGGGGATGGTGATGGAGGAGGAGGGGACTTGTAGAGGTAAGGAGGAGGAGGCGATGGTGATGGAGGTGGAGGAGACTTGTAGACATAGGGTGGTGGTGGTGATGGTGATGGTGGTGGAGGAGACTTGTAGATATAGGGAGGAGGTGGCAATGGTGATGGAGGTGGAGGAGACTTGTAAACGTAGGGACGTGGTGGTGATGGTGATGGAGGTGGAGGGGACTTGTAAACGTAGGGAGGTGGTGGTGATGGTGGAGGTGGAGACTTGTAGACATAGGGAGGTGGTGGAGATGGTGAAGGTGGAGGTGGAGACTTGTACATATAGGGAGGAGGAGGAGACGTTATTGGTGGAGGTGGAGATTTGTATATGTAGGGAGGAGGAGGAGATTTCACTGGTGGAGGAGGAGACTTGTACATATAGGGAGGAGGAGGAGATTCCATTGGTGGGGGTGGAGACTTGTACATGTAAGGAGGAGAAGGAGACATCACTGGTGGAGGAGGAGACTTGTACATGTAGGGAGGAGGAGGAGATTTCATTGGTGGGGGTGGAAACTTGTACATGTAAGGAGGAGAAGGAGACTTCATTGGTGGAGGAGGAGACTTGTACATGTAAGGAGGAGGAGGAGATTTCATGGGGGGAGGAGGAGACTTGTACATGTAGGGGGAAGGAGGAGATTTCAATGGCGGAGGAGGAGATTGTGAGGGAGGTGGGGGTGATTTGTAATAGTATCGAGAAGGTGGAGGCTTCATTAGAGGAGGAGGTGACTTATAGTAGTAATTTGGTGGAGGTGGAGAGTTGTAATAATAAGTTGGTGGATTGGGAGGTGATGGCTTGGAATGATGGTGGTGATGTTTGTGGCACTCCATGTATGACTTCTTAGGAGCAAAGGCCATTGATTTAGACAAGAGCACAATCTCTTTGTGAGAATAAGAGAGTTTGAGGGGTTGGAATTTGTTGAGCTTGGTCTTCATGTTGCATTTTGATCCCTTAGGAGCAGCATGGAGCTCAACCGTGCATCCCTTAGCTCCATACTTCCAATAGGGATAGCCCTTGATTTCTACACTGTATTTTCCATGGATATTGGTCTCACCGAATCCGACATGCTTGTGTCCACCCTTGCATGTCACCTTCACAATAGCATCTGACCGAAAAAAAATACTCCATCAATTGTTGAATATTAAATGAGCATATATGTTACTCAGATTTTGAATGAGTAATTAAATATTTTTAGGTAGGGTATCATGCAGAATTAAAAATGATTTTAAATAAAGATTTCAGCATGTGGACACAACTACTGCCTACTTTTTTGTGGATGTTTGCTATGCCAATGTGCTATCTTATAGTGCAAACGGTATGGTTGTGTCTTTTAACTAATAAGTATATATAACAGTTATACTTTTGTAAAATACATTTTACACTTGATGATTTAGTAAAAAATTTCTACTTTTAGTCAAAATATGATGAAGCATTTAGCTTGATTAATTTTCACAAAAATTGTGCAACAATATATACTTTTGAGGAGTTTCTTGCGAGAATGTTTGTCCGGGTAATTCCAATCGTAGCACTTGAAGCAGTAGATTTTTCCGGTCACTACTACCAGTGGAAGAGAGTGGTAAGGCGGTGGAGAAATTGTGGGCGGTGGTGGAGATTTATAGTAATAAGGAGGCAGTGGAGATTTCACCGGAGGTGGTGGTGACACATAGTAGTATGGAGGTGGAGGAGATTTCACAGGCAGAGGTGGAGATTTGTAGAAGTAGGGAGGTGTTGGAGATTTAACCGGTGGTGGAGGAGATTTGTAGCGGTAAGGAGGAGGTGGAGATTTTACGGGAGGCGGAGGAGAGTGGTAATAATATGGAGGAGGTGGAGACGGAGAAGGAGGAGGTGGTGATTTATAGAAGTATGGCGGAGGAGGAGACTCTTTAGGAGGTGGTGGAGATTTGTAGTAGTAAGGAGGTGGTGGAGATTTCTTGGGGGGTGGAGGTGATTGATAGTAGTAGGGAGGGGGAGGAGATGGCGATGGTTGAGGAGGAGACTTGTAATAGTATGGCGGAGGTGGAGACTTTTTAGGAGGAGGAGGAGATTTGTAGTAATAAGGTGGAGGCGAAGGAGAAGGCAGGGATGGTGATTTGTAGTAGTATGGTGGAGGTGGAGATTTCTTAGGTGGTGGAGGAGACTTGTACACATAAGGTGGCGGCGGTGATGGTGAAGGAGGTGGTGGAGATTTGTAGACATAAGGAGCTGGTGGAGATGGAGATGGTGGTGGTGGAGATTTATAATGGTAAGGCGGAGGTGGAGACTTCTCTGGTGGTGGTGGAGAGTTATACTCATACAGTGGAGGTGGAGACTTCTTTGGTGGTGGTGGAGATTTGTATTCATAAGGTGGTGGTGGAGAAGGCGAGGGAGGCGGTGGAGATTTATACTCATAAGGAGGTGGAGGTGAAGATGATGGAGGTGGTGGAGATTTATACTCATAAGGCGGAGGAGGAGAGGGGGAGGGTGGTGGTGGAGATTTATACTCATAAGGCGGAGGTGGTGAAGGTGAGGGTGGTGGTGGAGATTTATATTCATATGGTGGTGGAGGAGATGCAAATGGAGGTGGTGGAGACTTATACGTATAAGGTGGTGGTGGAGATATCATCGGAGGTGGTGGGGATTTGTATTCATAAGGCGGAGGTGGAGAAGGAGATGGTGGTGGTGGAGACTTATAAACATATGGTGGTGGCGGAGATGGTGAAGGTGGTGGTGGTGGTGAACTATAAATGTAAGAATCTGCGGCGGTGACGACATTGTCATAAGCCAAGAGAGTGGCAAAGACTATAGCCAAGCTTGGCCATAGACGACCCTTAAACGGGTCGCCGATGCTGATTATCATCGGTCGGCAATGAATAGAAGAGGGAAGAAGATAGGATTTGTTGTTGAATGCTTTA